CCCCAAAACCCCAAAACCCCAAAACCCCTAAAAGGTAAATTCAAGATGAAATTAAGTTAAGTAAATAAGGTCCAATAAATGAATTAAGTATATCTCATCTTAAACATGGATGATAAATATGTTTCAAGTTCATTTGTTGACGAATGACTTGAGATCGTTGAGCCAGCCCATATAGAGTCTTTGATCTTTATCAAGTGACATGCATTCAACGAAAGCAGCAAGGTGCTCGTTAATTCCGAAGCCGTCTAAGTATTCAGAGATGGCAGATTGGATTCTCTCGTCGAGGGTTGAGAAATCTGGACCGGCATATGACTTAATTTGTCTCTCGAATCTGTGAATTTTCTTTGCATCTGCAACGTTTTCAGCGATTTGAACTGAGTTGAATGAGATCTCAGTGTCCATGGTGGTGGCCTCAACAACAAGTCCTTGCTTTCCTGAAGCGTCTGAGATGTATACGGTGAAATCGCAATAGTTTTCACTTGGAGCTTGTTCCTCCTCTTCTTGACCTTGGGTCTGAGTTGGCTCTTGTTGATTATCATCGTTCTCATCATCAGGGAGTGGCTGTCTATATTATAATATTAAAATCTACCACTAATAGAGCAATCAAGATATCCTTACCTAGACTCGAAAACAACTTCGACTAGTCTGTCTCCAACCTGCTTGGAAAGAGTCATGACGATGCCATCTTCTTCTTCGCTGAATTTGAATCCTGACTCGTGAAGGAAAGTTTCGATGTCCTCAAGTTGAGTATAGTTCTCATTCTCGTACTTAATCTCCTTTTCTAAGGCCTTTGACAGCTTTTAAATGCTTTTCTCGAGACCAGCGGCATTGGCGAACATTCTTGAGTTGAATGAAGTCATGGCCAACACTCCTCTTTGTTGAGCGATAACTTTACCTACACATCTGACTGATTGCTTTCCTGAGACTAATCTAGCTGAAGTTGCTCTGAAAATTGATTTTGCCAACATACTTTTTTTATACCTCTAATAATTATTAATTAACAAATTTATTACCACATACATATATTATCTCAATATTGCCAGACAAGGGGTTTTGGGGTTTTGGGGTTTTGGGG